TCTGAGACATTGTTTAGGCTGTGTTTGATATTCTGATGCAGTCAATACCTTGATTTTTAAATGCATGCTGTGCTTGTAGAACTGACAGGATTATTAATGCTCTACTTGGGAAGCATGAACAAATGCTTTTCTAAGAAGTCATAGTTATGAACTGGTAACTTACAATTTCCATTGTGATTTAAATACTACTGAACCAGCTCTCTGCTGGCTTCACCAGAACTCTGCTCATTGGCATTAGTGGAGACTTGCACCCTACATATTGACGTGAAGAGTGTCTTAGGATGAGGGATGTGTCTTGGAACACTTACTGTGCGGTGTATCATAGGGAATTACTTTGGTTTTATTTCTCCTAAGTCCCAGTACCTTTCACAGTACTGTGGCATCCTGCATATGTCCTGGTCAGCGAAAGTGATAGCCTTTTGCTACACTTAGGCAGACCCTGCTGGTCACAGCATCGGGCTGCCTTGGGGCTGGTTAAGAAGATATTTTCTCAAGATATTTTGAATAAAGTCTGCTAAGTGGAGAGTAGAAGGATCGGCTCCTCTCCTCACTGTTTTTCCAAAGAGGTGGGATCTCGGTGACACGAACCTGCAGCTACAAAAGCATCCATGTAAGTGGCATGCTAACAGCACCATTAGCATACTTGCTGACCTAATGACTGCAGTCCTGAGAAATAAGTGCTTTAAAAGGGCATGCAGTTATGAGGAAGTGAAAATCATCCATGTTTGCTGTCTGTCTGATCACAGGAGAGTTTCACGTGGGTGCTGCTGTAGCTTTCTCTTACTGTCAGAGGTAGGACAGAGTAAATGACACCTTGTAGTGGATTTAGATACCGGTGTTTAATTTCAGTTTTATTGAGATTAGAGCTTTTATCTTACTTGACGGTTTCATACACTGCTGCACTCACTTTCCCTCAAAGTCACATTGACTAGATCTCAGCTTCCCACAGAGGAGATCATCGCTGGCTGGGGAACGTCAGGCAGAAAGTTATGCCAGTATCATGCTGTTTGTGGGTACCAGGCTCACGTGTGAAGGTCCTGGGGCATCCCCAGGCACTTCTCTCTCTGGAGGTCCCTGAGGCTTGGTTTCCTCCATCTAAATAGGCCATAGACAGGAACACAGTGCATGATCAGCGTCCTAGTTGGTGGCTCTGCCTCATGTCCTTTACCAAGTGGAGAATTCAGCACGTGCCATTTCTGTTTAGGCCAGGTGTTGCCAAAATGTACAACCAACCCATACTGGTTGCAGTTAGCAAGCAGGCTTGTGCTTGGGAGTTCAGAAGTTCAGTTTTCATCATTACACACACAGTTACCTGTCACTGTCAGCATTCACATCAAAGTTGTCTTTCACCTGCCATGTTTCAACAAGATTTTATACAATAAGTGCATTTTAAAAAGTGTTGCATTTTGTGGAATAAGACTCAGCTGCTCTCATTCCAGGCTAGTTTGTTCTTTTTCGTGACATTAGTTTAGTTTAGTGCACATAACATTACAAGTACAGTGCAGATTGACTCTACCCCTGTTGCAACAATGTTTGAAGAAAATTGTGTACAAGGCCAGGGATTCATATAAATCATGACCCCAAAGTTAGTTTTCTCCTTTGCTTTTAAATAACTAGTGGACCTTTACCTAGTGAGTGTAATCACACCTCTCTGTTTGCTATAATATTGACTGAAAGTATCTGTCAGAGGAGGTCATAGTCTCGTCCAAGGAAAGCTCGATGCAAGCATGACTGGATGGGAGACTGCAGCTTATGGGCTCCCTGAGTCCTGTGTGGGAAGGCTTTGGTAAAAGGAGGGCAAAAGTCCAATAAAGCACATGCATAGTGAGCCCGACACAAAAGAGCCAGCACATGGAAACGTGCAAGTTTGACTCAGCCCACACACCGATCAACTCTGCCCCCACGCTCTGAGTGTGCGACACGTCCAGGAGGTACCCAAGCTGCTGCGTGGTCACGATGCGTTTGTCCTTTGCCTCGCCCTGTAGTTAAGCGTCACGTCTAGTGGGCTTCAAAATGCCAAGGAATGGGCAGGTGATAGTGCTTGGAAAGACTGCTGGATGTCTGGATGTCACAGACAAATACATCTCACTGAGCGAAGTTCATGAGGGCTGAGACACCCCTCCTGTTACTGTCCCCCCAAAATCTATGTACATAGGCATTTCTGCTTTTAGAAATGATGAAAATGTCAAACCCTAGTGGAGAGTAATGCTCAGAAAGTGCTTGAATCTTGGAATTAAACTACTAATCCTTCAAACAAATGGAAGAATGCAACTTGTGTAGGGACACATTGCACACACAAACACTCCTCCAATCTTCAGAATTAAATGGTGTAGGAAAATGGGCAGAAGTAAACACGTGCTATTTTCTTCTGTTCACAGCCAATTGAACCCCACACAGAACTGAAAGTATGGTATGCTGCCGATTATGCCAAATTTATGGAAGCTTCTGCAGTCTTCATTAAAGAAGAATCTGACGTCTGCCCTTTGCCTCCAGTAGCAGTAAGTACCCCTCATCTGCATTCAAGCCGTCACCAGATGTAGTGAATTACAATTTACGTGCTTGTTTTGTTTATGTAACTCCAGTAATGCTAGAATAGACCACAGAGTAGTTGGCTAACACAAAGCCAAGAACAGTTTTAACCAAACAGCTACTCAGAGAAAGGCTCCTCTTTCGCTCCTGTGTTTGTAATCCAGCAGAGCCATTAGATATGGTTAGAAGTAAGTGCCACCAGTGGGATGTGTTGGAAAGACTTAAGATTGGCATTAATTTGTAGATAACCAAGCTGGCCAGCCTCAGACTTCTCTTGCCAGTTCCCCTTGTTACGCTCTGACTGTTGGTCAGATAATGCACTGATTATTTCAGCCTTTCCTGTGCAATAGCCCTTCTCTTCTAATCCCAATACCTTCCCCTTAGTGTGATAGTAGGAATCCGTAAACTGATAGGAAAAGAAGTGTTGAAAACGTGACTGTGAAGATTGATGCCTAAGCTGGAAGAAAATGGAAGAGGGAATATGATAGAACCAGGAATTCAGAGGTGCTTCAGGAAGGGAAGTAACCCTGTTGTTGCTTTTACATAGGAGAGCTTCAGAGTATACCAAAGAAAGGAGGGGTGGGAGTGACCCAGCATCAAGCATGGGTAAGAGAGGAGGGTTCCATATGCAAGTAAAGGCGGAGTGGGCATAGCTCCACCATGTTCTCCGGAGCAGGCTAGCCTAAGGGCAAGGGAGGACAGTTTATGAGAAGCTGAGAGCGCTGAGGAAGTACGTCGTCATGTATTAGCTGAAAGGGCATTTCATCTGTGACTGGTGGATTCTTGTAATGGTTTTTCATCAGAATTTTTTAAATGTCAATATTTAAAGCGAATTCAGCTGAAACCATTAGAGCTTTTGTTTCCAGAAAAATAGTAATTCCAAATAAGGCATTGCTTGCTGAAAAACTGTTTATATGCCTTTAAGCCAGGATAGGCTTGAGATCCCCAAAACTGAGGTGTTCCTTGCCGAGTTTAGGAAAGTCTAATGCCAAATGTCAAGCGGAGTGAAGGAATTCTTTCCTGGAGGCATTGACCATTGTTGTCTGGTAAAGCATGGAGTCAGCACAAAGCACAGGGAGATCCTATATGGCTAAAGTACATTTGTGTGCAGCAGCCTGCCTGATTAGACACTCCCCAGCTTTGGGATTTTTTTACAGTTGCAATAACAAATCAATAGTGTTAGTCTAAGGATGAAGTATGATTTGCAACTGCTTTTGTATTTCTTTTATCTTTGTGTACTGAATTTCAAAGGTGAAGGACTCAGGTCTGTTGCAGTAAATGCTAAACAAAAACATGGAAGTCGGTATTTAGCCAACCATTACTTTTTTTCCCCCCCTCTAGTTCGTAAAATCCTAGAAAGAATCCATTTCTAGCTGAACAGCTGTGTGGTAGTACATTGTCCTTGCCGAGGACAACAACAGGTCTTGGGAAAGCCCAGGAGAAGATGCAGGATTAGTGGGAAGAATATGACCTTTCCTTAGAATGGCTAATAAGAAAGACCTGTCTCTGTTCTCATTGCAGAAAGAGCCCGTAGACCCCTGGACATGCTCCACCTGTAGAAGCACTTTTGCAACTTTTGCTTTGCTGGAATCTCACCAGTGCATCCATAAAGACCGAGTCCTTACCACCAGGTTCAGACCACCAAATAAATTGGGACCCATAAAAGCAAAAAGCAAACTCAAAGGGAAACTGAGAGGAGCAGCATTAGGCAAAAGCATTGCTCAGTGCTACGGGACCATTTCCTGTTCCTCTGCCGCAAAGCTTAACTGTGCCAGCTCGGGAAGCAGTTGTGATGCTCTTGTGAGGTTTATACCTAAATGGAGAAATGGCCGGTCTTCACTGTTGAAGGGAAGAGAAGTGAAGCAGCCGGACAGTTACCCTTGCCGACTCTGTGGGAAGATATTTGATTCCATTGACAAGCTCACGGTCCACACTTACGCGCACAAAGGAGAGCGCCCCTACAAGTGTTCACAGCACGGATGCACAAAAGCCTTCATTTCCAAATATAAACTGCTCAGGTACAGCTCTGAAGGCACTCCTTTTCTGGTGGGGGTGGGGAAAAAACCAAACACACAAGGACATTTTTTTCCTTTGGGGTGCCCCAGTGAAGGTTAATACATGAGTTTCAGTTTTTATTATTCTTGTTTTGGTAGAATTGGGGAAAACTAGTCTCCCTCAATCGTGGCGGCTACTGAGAAAGATTATGTTGAGCTGTTTTCACCGACTCGGTGCTTTATGATTAATATCTTATCCCCCTGAAAAAAGTTAGGCTTTTACTAAAAATCTGAGAACTGGTGAAAATGCCTTTCTTCAAGAGCGCCAGTGTGTTCAAGTCTTAAAGTTGCAAGAGTAAACGTACTGAGTAAATGCAAATAAGTGGATTTTTTGTTTGTTTGTTTGTTTTGTCTTAGGCACTCAGCCACTCATTCTTCACAGAAATCTCACCAGTGTGGCTACTGTGAAAAGACCTTTCACAGGAAAGACCATCTGAAGAATCACCTTCAGACTCATGACCCTAACAAGATGGCCTTCAAGTGTGAAGAGTGCGGCAAGAAGTACAACACCAAGCTAGGCTATAAGAGACATTTGGCTCTGCATGCAGCCACCAGCGGGGACCTTACCTGTAGGGTATGTGCCCAGGAGTTTGGTGGTACCGAAGTTTTGTTGGAACACCTCAAAAGCCACGCAGGGAAACAGACTGGCAACACGAAGGAAAAGAAACACAAGTGTGACCACTGTGAGCGTCACTTCTATACCCGTAAAGATGTGCGGCGTCACATGGTAGTTCACACAGGCTGCAAGGACTTTCTATGCCAGTTTTGTGCCCAGAGGTTTGGGCGGAAGGACCACTTGACTCGCCATACTAGGAAGACTCATCCACAGGAACTGCTGAAGAGCAGGTTGCAGAACGGTGAGTCGGTGGGTCTCCTTGACCAGCTTTTTCCATTCAGACTGAAGGAAGATGCCAGCATACTGTCCCCTTTTCCTGAAAGGGTCTCTGTGCAGAATGGGATTTTGAATAGCTCAGAATCAGAGGAATACAACTGTTCACATCTTTCTTCCCAGCCAGCGTTACAAACTGCGCTTCCTCTTGAACCTTCTCCTCATTTGCAAAGGATGGGCTGTGCAGACAGCCTTCCAGCTGTCCCTCCCACACCGTGCTCAACAGCCCTTCCTGCCAACCTGAACCTTCATCAGCCTAATAAACACGACCTTAGTTCTACCTCATTTGCAGCAGGATCCCTCAAGAACCTACCCATAAAAGTGGATGTTAAAGGTTATAACGTGCATCTTCTTGAGGACCTGCCATTACCGGAACCTCAGTCTCTCCACAAAATCAGTCTGGAAGAAGCTTCCTCAGGGCCTGCAGGGGACACTGACAAGTACCCAGTGCACAAGGAGACAGAGGCAGCGGCTGAAACGATGAGCCTGCCTTTCATGGATCTCACTCATGTGATGAGTTTCTGGCAGCTCACACCAGGTGACAACCAGAACACTACTGCTGGGGACATCACAATGGCATTTAGTCCAGAGGAACCAGCCCACAGGCTGAATGGCCTTGGCCAACAGCAGGGTCTTCAATTAGCAACTGGTGGGATGGCCATAAACCAGCTGCATCATCTTCCTCGCCCCTTTCCATCCACTACAAATTCTGTAACGTTGCCTCATTTTCACCATGCCTTCAAATAACTGTCACTGTGGGGTTTGGGGGTTTTTCCTTCTTTTTTTAAGACTGTGCTTCTTACGTAAGTCTGTTAGGATGGGGTGGTTTTGGTTTGGTTTTGGTTTGAAGAAAAAACACCCCAAATGTTTTCAAAGCACATTATGAACATGGTAGTTAAATTGGGAATGTTAATAAACCAGAAGCTCTATTTTTCATACTACTATTAGTTTTTTAGAATACGACAATAGTAGGACTAACATCTTTCCCTCCACATCCTATATATCTTTCTTACCTTTCACACAAACAACTGAATAAGCATCTTCAGTCGTTAACAGGCACAAGAAAACTTTGGCTGCTGCAGTAGGAGAAATAGGGTTAGGGTGAATGGGAAGAAGGGAGAAATCACAGAAAAATAATTTTAATGAGCCATAAATCACAGCAAATTTATACACATGGCAGATGTAACAAAGTTTATCACCATCATAGATTTCTGTTAAGCATTTAATTACTGAACTTTATGAATCTTTAATTTAAATCACAATCATTCCAAGAGTAAATCTTACCTCCTTATTTCACTTTTTTGAATGAAGATGATCACTGTTGTGATTTCATTTAACTAGATTTTCTCGAGTGCACCTCCTGCATTTTTTCCTAGGGCTGGAAATAATTACCACTTCTCATGACTCTGTAAGAACTGATGTCGTGTATATGTGCAGCTTTCAGAATGGGAAGTGAATTATCTCAAAGGTTAGACCAAAACATTAATTTTCACTTAGACCTGGATCTGGCAAGGTATCTGATACTGGTCTCGGTCTCTCTCTCTCTCTCTCCCCCCCTAATAAAGCACTTAAGAATTTGCTTAAATTTAAGGATGTGTTATCCCATTGGGTTGATTGATTTCCACACTCCATAAAAAAATAATGCTTCCTACCCGAAGGGCCTTTATTCACCTTTTGTTGGTAAAAATGGCCTTTTTTTTCAGTCTGGGAATTGACTATTAATCACAGCCACCCAACACGTGGATTCCTTCAGAGAAAGCCAACCCTGGTCCAGAGGAGCCCGCAACCAAGCGGGACCACTGTGGGGCAGGGGCTGGACCATGCACAGGGTTGTGGTCTGAGCTGACAATGGGCCCTGCTCAAAACCAGGTTATAAACTTGCCTCACGGGTGTTGCCTGAAATGGGTGGGTGCAGTAATGGTCGAGGCCATTTTCATTGGGGATTTTGTTCAGTAAGTGCTGGGAGAGCTGCAGCTGGACTTCCACTCTTAGTTTCTTCTAAACCAGAACAGTGGGGACTTTGTCCTGGGGTAAATTTCCCATGTACATTTCCAGGTGTCAGTGCGTTGATGTGGCAGTCCTGTCGCCTGTTGCACGAACTAGCAGAAATTCCAAAAATTGCATCTCCCATTAGATGACATTGTAACATGGGTTACTTTGTCTAACCCATAATTATTAAAAAAAAGAGAAGAAAATCCTGAATTAGTGGAAGATGCAGTTATTAACAGATTCTGTTGCAGCTAAAACACACAGAATTTCTGAATCCAAGTAAGTTCTCAAACCCTGGGAGCTACTATTCTATTAAATCCAAAGGCAGTTAATGGTACCTAACGATCATTACAAATATAGCATGAAGCAAACGCATTCTCTCCCGTTAATCACAGGAATGTTTCCAGACAGCTTCAAATAAAATAAATTTTTTCAGTGATTGCTGTTTTGCAGTTAATAAACTACAGTGACATTGTACAAGTCCGATTATCTCAACGTTCTTCCAAGTTTATCAGTACTTGGATTAAGAAAATGTTGTATGATCCCCATTCAGGCAAGAATATGTTCTTCAGGTACACTGTTGAAGGGGATTTTTGCTATGAAAATTTTTGGCATAGGGCAAACCAGAATTGATTTTAAGATCATTCATGTCATGACAACAGCAGGCGCTGCACCGTCATGCTCCGCTTGCAGTTACTTTAATTACGAGTTGCAGAATAGGAAGGAGGTTGCAAACAATGCCACGTGAGCGTTCCACAGTTAGGTTCGTATTTTCATCTGGGCTTGGAAATTCGTGTTTCTGCATGAATAGGGAAGGCCATGCAAATGGCATTCACTTGACTTCATCCAAGCTTATGTACTTGTTAAAAAAAAAAAAAAAACACACACTCAAAAAACCAACCCAAACCAAAAACCAGAACAACAAACCACAAGTTTTCTAGCACTGCCTGATCATACACTGTTAATAGACATTTTGTCATTCTGGTTTGTGCTTCTACAAGAGGTGTAACTAATCACTGAAGTACTTGTCTTTGAATTAAAGCGTGACACAAAGAAGAAAATGTTAGGCAAAGGCTGAGCTAGATGAGCGCCCACGTTCTTTGAGATGCTCAACTGTGCCTGAGCTGACCGGAGAGCTGCTGCCTGAACTCAGCCCCTTCCAAAATGTGGAAAGATATGTTGGCAAGAGATGGTTATTGTATGTAACTACGTGTTAAAGGCCAGTTACCATTAAAGGGAAAAAAAAAAAACCAAACGTGCATCCTTGTTTAAACAGGCAAGAACATTCCTTTGGGATTTTAATTGAAAGCCTTATTGGAAACTGGTGGGCTAAAAAAAACCCAGCCCCACATACTGCAACACTGAAAGTTTACATAAGGTGAGCCAAGGCTGGTGATAAATCAGGTGGCCAAAAAGTAAGAGAACAATATGCCTCCGTGACATCTCTGTCTTGCCAGTCACTTTCTAAAAGCGATTAAAGTTTTTAATGGAAGACTGAGGTTTGGTTTTGATTATTCTGAACTTGAAGGGCTTTGAAGCCGATGCACAGCTTACACGGCTGTTTGCCACTTCTCAATCACTACCGTTTATCGTGTATTCTTTACTGGAAGATTCTATTAAATATATACACCAAATTCTAAACTGTTCATTTGTTCTTGTTCAATGTATTGAAGCAAAACATTAGGGGGAAAAAAAAATCATGATACTGGGTCTTCCTACATTTTCTTGAAACCACTGAGTGAACCACTGGTAACCCATCTCCCGTTAATTAAATTTTGGCAACTTAAGTACAAATAATCTCACAACTTTAAAAAAGGACAGCGTAATAAACTTTGTAGCCTAGGTGAAAAAGGAGATGGAAAAAAGTGAATTTCAGTTTGCTTATTGTATTGAATGTGGTAGCTGTAGCACTGGGAGTGGAAGAGGTGCTGGAAAATGGTGTT